CGTCTACTACAGTGGTTCCCAAAGTGTATTCCGTAGAACCTAAGGATTCCGTTGGACAATCTAGAGGGTTTCATTAGACGCACGCGAATACTGAGAGTAGTAATTGTAACAATTACATTATTAGTATTTACATCACTACTTTTGAGAGTAGTGATTGGATTTGTAACAATAACCGTTAATTATCATTGGAAAATTGTTTGCGTTTTGGTTTTTCAATAAAAAATCCCATAGTTAGGTTCCACAACACACAAATTATTTCTTAAGGTTTCCCAGGTCGTAAAAGTTCGAGAACAACTGGTCAGTTATATGAATACATTTTCCTCTTGGAGGTTACAAGTGTCTTCATTCCCGCGGAGTACTAGATTAATAGGAGATGCGACGAAAAATAACGTATACATAAATCGATGTAACGTAAAGTCTTGTTCGTCGATTGACAATGACAATAATTATAGATTAATGTTTTAAACCAGCCTTCATCGAACACCATAATATGTTATGCATGCAATTTGATGATGTGACAATGCACGCCAAAACGTTTAAAACCTTTTCGCTATTTGGCAGATGTGTGTTTACGGTGAAACAAGTACACAGGTTCAAAGAACAGAGCTGTTTAAAACGGTATTTTATTATCGCACCGGGACTGTTGGCGTATATCGCATTTCCATAAAAGGTCGCGATTTATCGGATCACCCGAGGAAACCTATGGAATTATTTCACTAATATTAAAATTGAAATCAACGTCGCGACCGATGGTCACCGTCGGTATCCTATGTTATATATTATATCTGCGTAAGACAAATTAAAATAAAAACAAACACAGAAACAAAATAAACAAATAACAGTAGAAAAATTGTAATTGTTATTGTTAATACCACAACACGACCGAACACTACGCGCTTAGTACGTACACAAGGGCGAAACGTTATGCGTGCGTACAACGGTCATAAAATATAGTACCTTATCATATTGTTCATTTATTTCATTTGTATGTTTATTCTTAATTAATTAATTTATATTTTCTGTTTTATGTTTTATTAGTTTTAACTTAATGTTTCTCACTTTTGTTTCTTTTCACGCGGTCTTGAAAATAATTATTGCTTAATGTTCGTGTAATATTAACGCAGTTAAATAGTTTTTAGTGTGATGTTGTGTCTTCCGAACACATAATTGTTTTTATTTCACTCCATTCTTTTTCTTTTCTCCCTTGGGCACCAATAAGACAAAGCATTTTGTCTTGGATGTAATGAAATTACACTTTTATTGGATTCAACCGACGTGGATATTAAAAGTAAATTTTGAAAATATTTCTCTTGCTCTCCGCTTATTTGGATTTACAGAGTGGAAAAAATGTTATTTTAATTATATTTTCCAAGCCCGTTGTTTTCAACACTAAGTTTAAGATAAACTATTCATTTTGTATAAAGCGGAATCCCAAAATAAAAGTTATATAAAAAAAAAAAAAATTACAACAACATAAACCACATTTTATAAAACTGCCTTTACTGTATTGAAGGTTATTCATATTAACTTCAGTTGTTATTTTTTTTTATTTTTTTTTTATATCCCAGCTATTGAGTTTTTTACATAATAAAAAAGGTTTTTATGTACAGTTTAATTATCATATTTTTGAATATATTAAAATTAAAAATTTAACAATATGTAAATTATGTTCAATTGAACTCTGTTATAAATGAAACCTATCATTTCAGTTCTAGAAAATATTTAAAGTTTTTGTCGATTGTATAAGATATTGTTTTTCATTTAAATATACGCAAAACCAATAGCTATTGATTACATTTTTAAATCTAAATCATCTAAATCTAAATTATCTAAATCATATTAGTTCATAATAGAATATTGTGATCTTGATGAAAACAAAATACGAACTTAAAAATAATAATTCCAGGTCGTAACATTATATGCAATATCAAAATGTATATACCTGTCAATTTATTCCTTGTGAAATAATTTGACGAGTTACTAACTATTGTACCCTAAAATTAGAATTAAATAGATGGAGTTAGATATTTATTTTGACTGTTTTAAATTATTTTAATTTACTAAGAAACTTACAATACAAAATGGATTCACTTTAAAAAGAGAAACTTGTAGAAGTGAAACATTTTTGTTGGTCCCAATGGATTTTACCTTAGACGAATTTCACTGTGCATTTATTATGTACAAACTGTTTTGGATGAGATTGGTAAATATCATTATTATAATGGAATTGATGGTTCTTGTAATTCATTTGATTATGTTATCATAGGAAAATTAAGATTTCAAATACGCCTGTTGTCTAAAAATAAAATATTTAACAATTGCTTACATAAATGTTGATGAAGTGAGATTAGGTTTTTAAATATAAATGCCATACCACAGAATAATATGCATAGGACACACAAAAAAAAAAAAATCAACTTTAGACATTTAGAATTTAATAATGCATGCAACTGTTAAATAAAATATTGCTCAAGGTTTAACAATTAATTTTGCAATTGTGGATTTTTATTATTATAGATTTTCAATAAATAATTTGAAATCAAAGATGAATCACGATGTAGGATTGTAGGTTTAATTAACGAAAATACATTAAAAAAAAATAAATCAAAAGTTTCCTATCTTATTTAATTTGTTTTTTAATAAATTGAAAAAATATTGGATTTTATTACATAATATTTTTTATGGCTTTCTTGTCCATCCGTTAATTAATTTATACTAAATATAGGTATGCTTAAAGTTTAGCTTTGTTAATTAAATTCTGTCATTACTTACGAAGAAATTCAGAAAAAAAAATTGTAATAAGAGAGTATCTGTTGCAAGTACACATAATTACTTGGCGAAAATATAGTTATTTTGATTAGCTGAAATTAATTTTTTTTTCCTTTTTTTTTCCTTTCATGCTAAATTTGTACATATTTTTAAAAATAATAAGTAGAATTCCAGGATTATTTTGTATACAAATTTGCGAGAACTTAATGAATGATAGCAATCAATCTCTTTGAAATATTACGAAAACAAAATGTTTTTTGTAGGCTATGTTTATACAATCTTCAAAGTCAAATATTTTTATGGCCTTATGTAGTTTAGAAATCTATCCGATGAAGAAATTATCTTCTATTTGTTGTAATATATTGCATGTATACATACTTATTTAAATATTTATACTTTAAAGTTTAGACGACTACTTCAGCCCCTATATTCATATCACAGGCTTATAACGATAAAATATAACAATTAACAAGTGTATTATAATACTAAGCTCATATTAAGCTGAATGAAGGAATACAAGTGTTCTAACCGTATGATGAAGTTTAACGTCTTTTCCGAAATGTTGAGAATTAATTACGCTGTATACCTAAACGGTGCGAATAAGTTACGTGGATTTCATGATGACTTTAATAGCTTGTGTAATATATTCGTTGGTACCTACGTCAAATGCAAAAATGAAAAAAGTTTGAATTTCGGTCGTATATTTTGTTTTCGGTATCGAAAGTACGTTGTGAAAATCTAAATTGCAAAAAGTTTGTAATCGTTTCGGTTTTTGACATTGATCGACGATCCTTACGATCAATTGCAATATTAAAGCTAACATGTCTATTATATTTTATACATTGTGACATGCAATTTATATATTAACTCGATGTATTATAACTTTACTTATTTAGCACTTAATATAATTGAGTACGGCCTAGAAGTAAATTAAAAATAACAATAACAATAATAAAAAAATGGATTTTGATTAGAACGATGATGCTATTGATTTACGTATTAAGTTACAAAATTGTAGTTGAGTATTTTTCAATGAATACTCCAGCAATTTAGCAAATCATCGTGAATGCTATAGTAAATTGAGCTCCTTTTCAAAATTTTTATATTTTTTTTATTTTTTTATGGGATGATTACTATTCGTTAAAAAAATATAAGGTCTAATATTATGTAAAAAAAAAAAAAGTAGCATTGAATAGATTCAATAAAAATCAACATCTGTATTGTGTTATACATATAAGCTATAAAATATAATTTGTATTACATGTGTATGTCAGAGCTATTGGTTTAAAATCAATTTTTGATTTTCCTGGTTCACTATTTATAGGGTTACTACTTACTACTACTAGTAGTAGGGTAAACCTAACCTAACCTAACCTACTACTAGGGTTACCTACTTTTTGGGAACTCTATTCTTATTGATACTATATTATTATATATCGTACTATGGTATACTCAAATATTGTCTCAGAGTTGACATGAATTTTATTATAAAATATAACTGCGAATGGCCATGAATTAATGTTGAATTTCATTAACGAAACGCTTTAATTTAATTTTAATAAAACAGGATATATTGTTTTTCATAGCTTAAACATTTTATGCAAGGCCATGATCCATTTTATCTACTGTTAAAATTTAGAATATTAAACAATAACAGTTATGAGTTTCAAATAATGCACGAACGATTGTTTTAAAAAATATTGACAATCTTTTACAACAAAAATAGTAACACTGAACTTGACGCTCGCGAATAAGGTGATATAAAAGGCACATATAAGCATATGGATCATGTTTTAAAAAAAAATATATAAATATATTTCAGTTACGATTATGATCTATAGTTTACGGAATATTCCATTCGTGTAATATCGTATGGCGCGTTGTGTAATATACGTGTCCATCGTTTAGAATTGGTTTAGGAGGGAAAAGTATTTGTTTATCATCATTATTGTATTTATACCAAAACAGGACCGTGTTTAAAATGCACCGACAGTTTTATACTTAATTAACATTTATATTTTTATCATATACCCTTAGGACAGTATATTTCGTATGTGTTTTGTATAGAGTCCATCCTATTATTTGTTTAAATTACATCCTAACATAAGAATTTGTTTTAACGATCGTGTTTATTATGAGTCCGACTACGTAATGTTGAACGTGGAAAAAAAATTATCTAAATTATAATTAAAGCACGCGTATAATATAGGTGTAATTTATTTTTATTGCAGATTGGAAGCCTTGATGAATTCTATCTATTCGAACATCAACACGTGCACAAACGGTCACTGTACCTTGACGAAAAGTACCATTCTTGTTTGAAATCGGATCCGCAGGTAATATAAATAGAACAAAAAGATTTAAGTTAGTTGAATATTACAGTTTCGATACAGTGTCTAATATAAGCGTAGATATAGTAAAATGTTTACTTACAGAAAAGAATAAAGCAATAACTACGTCATTTGAATAGTATTATAAGAATATTTGCTTTCTCAGTATTTGCTCACGCATACAGTTTTTGTATAATTTTAATATTGCGAATGACCGAATAGATTATTTTGAATAAACTTTCGAAGCAGTAACATTTGGTTACTCTTCCCAATATATCAAAACTCTATATTAAATCTCTTTGTTTAGTTTATTTATCATTCACATGGACTGAAAAGTTTGAAAGTTAAATATATATTAATATTATTATTATTATTATTATTTTTTATACTCAAACACCCAGTATAAAGCCATCCGCATGTAAGTTTGAATTCATAATATCATAATATACTTTATATAAAATCGCAAAATATCAATAGTCAAATAAGAACTCAAAAGAGCGATGATATAAAATATATTTCCAAGCACATTATTGTTTTTTTTTTATAACGGTAAAAGTAAAACAATAAAATATAATGCTACGAAAAAACCATCGAATACGAGTATCCTGAATTGATAGCGTCTGTAGTTTCTGATTGACGATATAACACGCGATGACATTTGACGTTGAACACACTACATGTTTTGCGGTGCCGTAAAGCGAAACGTGTCGTGTGTAATTTACTTATGCGTTTTTCTCTTTACGTTTACGGTCGGTGGTTGACGGTCCAGGTAAACAGAGATAAAATAGTCCTGGAAGGTTGAATCCGGTGCCAGTGTGATCACGTGGTCAGGACCCACACCTGACAACTGGCAATACTAGGATTGCTGCGGTGAACGTCAAGGTTATGGTAGAGATGAACGGAATGGAAGTTTTGATGGGGCGCGTATCTCCCGTCTACTGGTCTAGTTTTTGGGTACGAAGCCGAATTAATCAATTAATGTTAAGCAAAAAAAAAAAAAAAAAAATCAAAAAAATTTCGTTCGCCGCAGATAGCGTTGAATCTTGATCTCCGACCTCGGATAGCCTACTTTATATAGGTAATAATATGGCTTACTAAGTTTACTCGCTTTAAAGATTCCGAGTAAAGGAATTTGTTGCTTTCATTTTTTTTTCCACTAATACTTTTTAAAATCGAAAATTAAGTACCAATTATACCTTAGACATGTTTATTTTTCGATTATTCCGACTGAAACTATAGTACGTATAACTATGTATTTGAAATATTGGTGATCTATAAATTTGATATATTATCAGTCAGTTAGCATGATGGGTTTACGTGAAACGAATCCTATGAGGTTTTATATAGTGATAAGTCGTCAAAGTGTTTGGTCAAGCCAATGTTTTATAAATTTATGAAACATTATGATATTATTTATTTCCAACAAATTTGCTGGTGATTTACATTTTACTTTTTATCATAAAAATATTTATCATGCCAGTGTATTTACACCGATTTTTGCTCAGTATCGGATAGCTTAAATAGACTCATCATCAAATTATTGATTGATTGATGTGTACAAATAAATATACCTCACTCAACAAAGAACTTACACTTAAAAGGTTATCGATTATTCTTCGATAAACGTCTCACGTCCGACAGCGGATGTCTGATGGCCATTTTCGACCAGTATTAATTTTTGGATGAAGAGAAAAATAAAATACCTCTATGTTTATTTTGGATCGCATTTAACCTGTATTATTGCGTTTAGATCCTTTCTATATAAAAAACAAAAAATAATAAGATAAATTCCTTATTAGACTGCCAATAATGTTCAAGAAGTGGTCGAACGCTCGGAGTCTGGGTTAGTTCATTTTCTATATACATTGCATATACATTTTCCGATTATGGTAAAACAATTTTGTAATTTTCTAAAAATCGTATTATTCAATCAGAGTGTACCCTGTACGTTGTACTTGAAACAAAATATATTTTAATACTTACTTTTTTTTTCAGATATCATTTCATTTTTCGAAAAATATGGGTTTTTACAACTAATAAATAATTATTCGAAAATAATTAAATTTTTCAACTTATACAAATAAATACTTTGACCATTTTATTTTCAAGTTTTGTTTAAATTATATATTTAAATATGTTAAATCTTAAGAAGCATTATTGAATTTTTAATTTGATTCTGTTATGTATAATATGTTAAGCCAAAAATAATATTCAATTTCATTGGAGGAAGGCATAAGTGAAAATAATATTTCTATCAATTATTTTTCGACTAATGATATCACTATTGAATGTCAATATACTAACTGTCACAGCGCTTTACAATAACACGTATTTAATCTATAAGTGTAAAAGCTATGTCAAGGAAATTATAAAATTAAACTATAAAATAATTTCGTCTTTTCAAACAGGTTAAGCTTTGTGCAAACGTTTCATCTATATTAACAGACTCTTGTTGAGTTTTTGGAAACTTTTTGAAATATATAATTTAAAAAATAATAAATTTTTGTTTCATTATTGTATTCTAGAGTATTAACTTAGCGTGCATTCATAATTGATACAAATACTTTTATATAGTTTAAATGCATTTTTTTCTATTCAGTTTTGAACACATATAAATTGTCAAGAAGTTATGTCAATGGTATAGTCTTGAAAATATTTAAATATTCGACTCTCATTTTAATAAATCTATTGAACCCCGTTAAGCTTAGTCGGATGCATTAAATTTTGGAATGGGGCAAAAGGAAAAAGATGGAAAAGGAACGTTTACTGAATTCCATACACTTGTTTTAATATTGTTGCCCGTCAAGGCGTGAAAATAATGACATTATAATCCCATTTCTTAAATTCTGTCGGGACATCCGGGAAAAAGGGTTCCCGGAGTGGTTTTTGTGGCCACGACAACAGGGATGAACAAGATTGATGACGGTGTTTCAGAGAAATGAAGGGAAAAACCGCTGAGCTTTTGTCTGTAGTCCGGTAACAACATAAACTAATGTAATTGGATGATCCCGGAATTCCCTGAGAATACCATCGTAGAATTTAATTTAAATATTAACACACGGGCATTCATATAGTCGAATGATACTAGCAGTAAGTGGAGTACACAGAGTTGGTAAAGTTATGCCACTATAATATATGTATAAACACAAATAAATGTAAGCACGAAGAAATTATGAAAAAATATACAAAATGCACCCAGGATGTCCTGGTCCAGGAAAATGTTTCTGCCCCAGATGACAATATTTGTAGCATTCACCCTCGACTTTCATGTCCCTCTTTTTATTCTTGCCTTTTATTTTATTTTATTTTTACATAGCTCTGAGTGGTTTCGTGGGCGTTGAAACGTCGAGCTGACCCAACATGGGCAATGATTTTCCATTTGCTTTAGATTAAAAACTTTTAATTTGAATTTCGTAATCTCGTACTATTATATTTATGTTTTGTAATTTAACAGAAAGAAACTCATAATTTTAAATAAAAATTGTTTTTAATCGTAATTTCGTTTCTGTGGTCATAAATCAAGACAATATAAACATAATACAATTACGTAAAAAAGAACTAATAAAATTAAAAGTTGTACCCGTATCCCAAAATATTAATAACGAATATGTTTTCATATTAAATGTATTGATACCTCCAGTTTGAAAATATTTTTTTTTTTATTTATTACATGATCAATAACAGTTTTTTAAGCTTTATAATTTTGTTTTTTAGTTGTAAAAATTGTCGTTAAAGTATTGCCATGTATTTTTAGTGTTTCGAATAAGTTTAATTAAATAATATTTTAGTAGGTATTGAAAACGCAGTTAGTGTGTAAAGGTACTTGCAGTCTATATATTGAACTAATTTTATGCAAATCGTTGTAAATTATTTGCAATGTTTTTATAGTAAAAACTTTGTCTTTTAGAAATATACACTTTAAATACGATGGTTAACTTTTATGAAAATTAATGAAATTATTTTTTTTTTAAATAGAATAAGTATACCATATCCGGTATGTATAAAACATATTTTATCTATTTATTCTATCACAAATTATTTATTTAAAAAATGTGATACACCTATAATATTATAAACTAATATTAGCGTTAATCAAGATCGAATGCATAAAATATATTTCGTACATGGACCATATAAATATTATATCTGTAAACATAGTTGGGTTTGCTGTAAAACAAAAGATATTGATGAGATATAATAGCGCACTGATGGAAGTACCTCTACATATACCTCGATTTTGAATTAAAAAGATAAACGATTCTTAAAAATTGGGATCAAATAATTCTTATGAAATTTGGTTTAAACCATGCTCGGAATTTCAGAATGATCATAGTTTTTCTTGAACTTATGGAATACTATGAGAATTAAAAATATAGAGCATCTAAAATCTTGCTAAGAGACGAGAGATGGTTTGTGTACGTACGAATAATATAATTGTGTTGGTCGTACATTTTTCATTCGTTCCATGCCAAACTCGGCGCAGTATAAGTATACATCAGTATACGTCGAATGTAAATATAAATATAGTTCAAAAAAAATGTAACTCAAATGTATCGAGTTTTAAAACACATCGGAAAGCATGTTTATATAAGATTGTCTACTTAGGTACCGGTGCGGTATTACCAAAAACATTACGATTTAACGCTGTAATATGATAAATTATTTTACCATTAAAATTTACTGTACTATGTCGCGTTGAAATTCGATACGTTTTTAAGCCTCGTCTAATATGCTCCGAGAACTCCATTTCACGTGCGTAACCAGCGCCTCCCATTAGGAAAATTTGATTTTTTATACTATCAATAATTAGCACGTTATTAGCATGAATTTGCATGACTATTGCCGAAATTCGTTCAATCGTTGTTTCCGTGTAATATTGTACCAAAAAATTTGCGCGTTTCACCAGAACTGCCCCAGATTGAAATTTTACGAATTTCTCTCTTATGAGCTTTTTTGTTCTTCAATATTTTAAGTAAGATTTTTACTATAATATTTTAGTGATTATA